CATGAGACTTAAACGTGCAAACACATGGTCATAACTAGTCTATCGGTGTTGTGCGCAGTTTCATTATCTTTTTTTAGAGTTGACTCAAGCATTATGGAATCTTGCTTCTAGATTGAGATTTCTTACTCTTTTGATGACTTTTCATCCTTACATTACATTGATGAAATGTGAATTGTCCTTACATATCATCCTTACTTTACATTGATGAAATGTGAATTGTCCTTACATATCATCCTTAGATTTTAATGAGAATGGGCTCAAACATTCTAATACCTTCATTCGTGAGTATTCTTGTAACATAGTAGTTTAGGTGTAAGTAAGATTTATCTCACTTCTTTTAACACCCCATTCTGGTCACTTTCTTAATTTAGACCCCTTTAATTATGTAATACCTCACGTTATTTCCTTACTTTAGTGTAGTAGCTTCATTTGATCGTTTATGGACTATGATCACTTCTTTCAATGAGTTACATATGTTCATAGTTTATTCTTTTAGAGAATGTTCGGAGTTGTCCCAAGGAATTGCATGCCCTTGGTTATGGATTAATTGAACTACTTTAGAAGTGCTTATATTATCGTTTGATACTCTAACTACACAAGATTGGCATATGCTTAGTTTTAGCCTAAACACTTGGATATTAAACTAAATAACCATTTTTGTTAGCATAGGTCAGTTTTACGTATGTTCATATCTAAATTAATATATATGAACCATTAGTCAATATTTTAAATAATTTAATACATAAATTTATAGACATTTACATTCATTGAATTACTTTAGAAGTACTTGTGTTATCATTTCAATCATTTAGCTTTATAAGATTAGTATTCGATAAATATTGGCAAAAGAAATTGGCTATAGACTTTATAAACTTCTTTATTGGAATGAGCCAATGTTTCATCCGATCATACTAAATTTCAGATACATTATTAATTTTCAAATCTTTCACTTATTTAGAGATAACATTATAGCACATTCTCATTTAAATTTTGAACAAGTTTTTTATTAGGCATTTTATTGGCATAAGCCAAACATTCACTCAAATTAGGATTTCATGAAGATCTTTTTAGCAAACCTTATAATAGAACATTAGGCATTAAGATTTTCAACATGTTGGACAGCAAAATATGATCATTTAACGAACACAACATCATACACAAGTCACATTAAAAGTAGGTGTGCATAATTGACAATAATCATCTTTATACATAACATTTTCTGACACATCCTAACATAGTGTAATTCTCTTAACCAGTCTTACTTCATGACTTTAGGGTAACATTTTTAAGAAATATTGGAAAGCATCATATTAAAATTTGATGCCTTTATCATCTTCATAACGTTACAAAAAGCAAGTCAACATTCGGATAAACAGACATCAACACGTGACATTTACGGACATTAGTAACATATGATTGGCTCTTATTTAACATTGTAAACATTAGCTTAATACGATTTTAAGTTCATAGATTCATGCGAAATTCATCATTCAAGAACATTACACATAACATCAGCAAGCACCACATAAAAACAACATCATCTCTAACTTACTTAATCATTAAAATCATACAAAGATACTAGGGTAAGGAGTTCAACGAGAACGACGGGAAACAACCCTAGTTTTCAAGATCATTTACACGTTCGAAAAAAAGTTCTTTTGGAGTAAGAAGTCCAGGAGAGAAACCCATACCTTATGTATAACTTAATCTACATATACCACCTTGAACGAAACAATGAAGAAACCTTGAAATCGCCCTAGAGAAATCGATAAATTTTCTGCCTTTTTCTTTCATTAATTGCCTGCTGTTATTGCGACACATTTTCTATGAGTTTGAACGTGATTCTAAGTCTTAGTAACTGATCTTGACTAATTCAACTTCGGATTTAATAAGTTAATTAAATAAATTAAATAACTAATTATTAAAAAAAACCTCCTAGTTTGACTAAAGTAAGAAAACACATTACTTGGTCAAATCTGAAAATTTTCTTATAAATTTCGTTTTTTACCCTTTAAATTAATTAATTAAATGTATAATTTAATAAATAAGGTACCTATTGTAATTAATAAAGTGCCCCTAAATCATTGGAAACAAAATTAACCCTTTTGGACCATCTAAGGTAAAGTACCAGGATGTTTCTTGAGTTGTACTAGGTTAGTGTAAGAATTTCGGTTTGACCCCTTTAATTTAATTAATTAAATGGATAAATTAATTTATTAAGTTATTTAGTGAAATTAATTAAGTAACCTTAAGTCGTTATAACAATAACTAATACATTGGACCATCCAAGGTTAGATTTGTCTTTTTCTTGTCTTAACTGAAATCTGGAAATTGCTTTGTGATTTCGGTTTTCTCCTTTTAAATTAATTAATTTTTCTGATAAATTAAATAATTAAGTAGACTAGGTAATTACTAAATTATTACTAAGTTTTAATGACCATAAAAAACCTTTTAGACAATCCTAGGTTAGGTACTAGGTTGTCTTTTTCATGTCTTAACCGAAATCTGGAAATTATTTTATGGTATTTGTTTTCATTTAAATTAATTAATTAAGTTGGTAAATTATTTAATTAATTATCCTAGGGTAATTACTAAAGTATCCCTAAGTTTTTGGAACCATAACCAACCTTTTGGTCCATGCTAGGTTAGGTACTAGGTAGTCTCTTTAAGTAGTTACTAGTTAAGTATCACCCGGTTAAGTCTTAGGTTGTTGGGTGCACTTATTAGTTTATTTCGTTTGGTCATAGGTTAGTTATCTAGTTAGGGAAGTAGGTTAGAGTCTATAATTTTTTAGGAAGTTAGGCCCCAAATGGAGTGGTCTCTTGTGCACGTTTTCCCCCCAACTACCCTAACCGAATTTTCTTAGGGTGGCCCCCTCCATTGGTCGCTTCTTCACATGTTTTGCACATGTGTTGGTTGTAATTTCCTAAATAATTGTTATTAATGGTCCCTTTTGGAATTTTAACTTATTGTCCCATGGACCCTCACTATGTCCTTGGGCACTGCTCACTCTACACGATCATTTTAAATGGTTATGTACTTAGCGTACTAGGTTTGACACTTGGATGTATAGTACCTTATGTGTTTGAAACTGATGAAGTTCTTAATTTTATCTTAGGGTATTCATTGCAGGTACATTTCTTAAACATGATCATTAATACTATGATAAATGGCTAACACCCTTTAAGAAAAGATTTTCTAATATGCACAGTATTTTGCTTATTGGGTATTATATAGAAATTGGCTATTAACCCTTAGCTAATTTTCTATACTATCTCCAATATTTCTCAATATTGGGTATTGGAATGACTATGTATTCCCAATACGCATTCTTGAAGACCTATTGGGATCTCCACTAGATATAAAATTTTCCTTAACATTTCAATACACTTGGAATACATTTAGTTCAGATTGTAAAAAAACATCCACAAGGACAAATTTGGCAATGAGACAATATTATGGATACCGCATACAACAACACCTCAATGAGGGCCAAACTCTACACAAAGCTAGAAGACTATTGCAGCAGAACATTGTTGATGGGTACATTACAATTGAACAAGAAAGATTTGGGTACATCCGGAATAATCAACAGAAACTAAGTGTGATCTTTATGGTGGATTAATTGATGTTATTGTGTAGGGAGATTCAAATGGCTCAATGGTGGGAAAAACTATTATACTACCTTCATCAACACTAGGAGACGTCGGTATAGGGCACAAAATCAAGATTCAATGAATATATGTCGGTGGGCTGGATATCCAGATTTGATCTTTGTTTTATTCTGAAAAATGTTTTATTTATAAGTTTTTCACTTTTTTAGAGTAGCCACTTAATTTTCTAGAAAAATCAAGAAAACTTAGTTTTCAAATGATTTAAACAGGAAACCTACTGAACACTTTAAAAGGGTTTCGGGAATTTATACTCATATTTTAGGATATTTTTTACGACAATTACAATACCCGTTAATACGGTTTTTAGGCAACTAACTTGTTTGGATTTAACTTAATTTAATGTATTTCATTTTGAAAAATCCTTGAAATATTCAACTTGCTAAATATTGTCAAGAAAAGAACACTAAAACACCAAGACGATAATAAGATACTAATTTTTAGAATTTTAATATTAGGAATTCGAAGAAAATTTACCAAACAAATGTTCACAAAATCCATTTAAAATAGACTTTAGAACACAATAAGACTAATTATTCGTACCAGGCTAGATATCATACACATCAAATATGGTATAAACAATAGACGACCCTTTAGAAGAAAGAAAAATGCAAGAAACTTTGAAATAAGCAAACTAGATACAAAGACTTTCAGGGGAAAGAAAATAAATCACCTCAAAATAAAAAAAATGCAATAGGCTGTCTCAATGCCGATTTGTTCTGAAAACTACTCCACGCTCTTAAAAAACATCAAATGAGAGGTGGAGAGTAGGAAATTCAAAATAAGCAAAATATAAGAAGAGGTTGGACATGACCAACAAAACATAAATGAAGAAAGTTCACAACAGAACCAAACACATTAAACAGAGAGACCATGACTAGGGATATATACATAGTATCAAAGACCTGAACTAGACAGATACTAACATAACATCAAACGACTAGTTACAAACTATATAAGCTAAGAAAACAAAACATTCAGATGTTAGAATTGAAACTTTTAAATATTTTTAAAGAGACTAACAAATCGAAACAAAAACACACCGAACTTCAGTATTCCAACAAATTATGCAAGACCACAACAAATTGAAAATACATCACAATTTGAAAATTTTGGTGTCGGCATCGGAGAAAAGGAAGGAAAAAGGGATAGAGCTGCTTACCTCTTGTTGAATAGCAAATCTGGGTCGAAACAAGCAAAGACTTAGAAAGCTTACAGAAACCTTTAAACGGTTTTCGATTCGTTTGTTCAAACGTAGCAATGCGAACAAAAATTTGGACAAGGAAACTTCTTCTCTTTCAATAAAAAGCAATTCACTAATTTTAAGCATTTAGGTGTATGCAAAATAAATAGAGGAAATCTCGGTATCTCTCCCTTATTATAAATCAGCTTTGTCCAAGTAAATTTATTCACACCTCTCTAAAAAACAATTCACAAAAGAAAAAAAAAGAATCCCCCTCTTACAGTGACTATAAAGAGAGTATTTATAACAAAAAATTAGGGTTCAAATCTTTTTGGGGGGGAAAGGATTGAATGGATACTGCTCACGATTCGAAAATCTCCCTCAAGGACGACGAAAATCTGGCTTTGCAGGAGATTCACCCTTATTCCTGAAAAATGAACCTTGTAGTGATGTCGGACTGCTCGGATCCATTTTAATCATCCTTGCTTGACGATGTGACTTCATCTCGTGCTGCAAGGACAGATCGTGTCTTCTCTAACTTCTAGGACCTACAGATGCAAACCAAACTACGTCAAAAAGTTGAAAGAACAGAAAAGGTTAGAGGCACGTTGGAACGTTGCCTCTCACACGAGAAAAACACGACTAGTCTAGCACGTCGCGACTGGGATCAATTTGCTTCTTTGAAGCTCTAGACTCCATACACAATCATGATACTTTTGACACTAATGTCGTTACTACTCTTCTTTGGAAGAACAAATTGATATGTCCCAGGTCGGGTTAAAAGTTATTAGATTGGGTAAAGGTAAAACCAGGGTTGCTAGTTCGGATTCAGCTCTTATGAAGAACAAATGAGCTAGGTCGAGCCAAACGATGTGTAAAGTTGTGGTCTTTTGAAAAGAACAAAAATTGGCTTCTCATATGTAAAAAGGGAAATTCAAAAATTGGTCTTGGATGTAATGTTTGTATCGGCTTAGAAAAGTAGCCATACGAATACAATTATGGTGAAATAAGATTTAAGAAGTTAGGCAAATTGAGTTTGATTTAAAGAATTTGACTAAAAAGTGAAGCAATACAAATTGATAATAATTCATTAACGAGATTCTTAATTACAAACAATTAAAATAGTGAATCCTAATTATAAACTAATTAATTTAAAATTATAACTAAATTAAGAAAATATTTGACTAAAACAAAATTTTCTGGAGGTGAATTTACAAGATATATGAAATTGTAGTCAAAATTATATAAATCAAATTTATTGTTTAAATTTTCTCAAAATGACTAATGTTTCTTGAAAATAACATGAAAATATATTTGGTTTTTTAAAGCTAATTATACTAAACCGTTTAAAAATTAAGAAGCTCGAGAATCAGTTTATATGGGGGGGAGTCACACTTGGGTGTCAAAAATTGTCCCTCATTTTAGTTGGATTGATGAAGGAAATTGGAAGAAAATAAAATTGATTAAACCAATTTTGACCGACCACACCTTCATCTTTTAGTTAAGGGATTGTGGTACGTACAATAGGAATTATGGTCGAACCCCAGACACGGATTTCCTACATATCTCAGGAAATATTAGAATTAAGGCCAGTTGAAGTTCGGTACGCTTGACTTGGTATGATTTTAAAATAATTAAGAAGCCATCCCGATACTTAATTATGAATGGGCCGGAATGCTTGAGAATATGATTCAAGAGTGAATGTTGGAATACAACCAAGTTTTAAACATTGAACCAGCCTAAGAAAAAGTTTTACGTCGTGCTGCATTCTTTTTTTATGTCGTCCGCACCTGTGGTAGGTTTTGGAGAATTCATCCTTTTGGATTCACTCGATAATGAAAGAGATACACTCACTCGCATAAAAATGCATTTCAAATAGGATATAGTCTCTTTTACCTTGTTGTCATTCAATTTCTCTTTTTCAACATTCAACGTCAACTTGATAGGTTTGACATAAAGCAAATCAAGCTTATATCTTTTTTTTGCAATATATTCTTCAATGTACTCTTCATTTGATGCCGAAATAAATAGAAGTTGATGCAGTGATAATATTTCTCTTTATGTCGTCTTCGATGATTCTCTTGGTGTTTACTCGTATAAATAATAAAGAAAATGCAATTGATGTTGATGGGCAAATATTCTCTAGGGTTGCACGACTTCTTCTTCTTGCTATGCGTGACTTCTTTTCGTGATGCACGAACTCTTTCTTTTGAAATGCATGACTTTTTTTAGCGATGCATGAATTACTTCTATTGCAATGCATAACTTTTTCTCCGCAATGATTGGCATCTCCCCATGATGCATGACATTTTCCTGGAATGTATGACTTTTCACGATGTATGAATATTTTCTCACGATGTATGATTTCTTTGTGATGCATGAATATCTTCTTACGGTGCATGACATTCCGCAATGCGTGAATATCAACTAACGATGTATGATTTTTTGCGATGCATGAATATATTTTCACGATGCATTATTTTTTGCGGTACATGAATATCTTCTTGCGATGCACGATCTACTGAAATGCATGAATATCAACTCGTGATGCATGATTTTCCACAATGCATGAATTTTTTCTGGCAATGCATGACTTTTCGTGATACATGATTGTCAACTCGCGATGCATGATTTTTCGCGATGCATGAATTTTTTCTCGCAATGCATGACTTTCTGTGATGCATGAATATCAACTCGCACTGCGTGATTTTTACGATGCATGAATATTTTCTCGTGATGCATGACTTTTAGCGATGCGTTATTTTCTACGATGCATAAATATCTTTGAGTGGTGTTTGACTTTCCGCGAGGCATGAGTATCAACTCACGATGCATGATTTTCCGCGAGGCCATCCTTGGTACAAATTAGAGATAATTTGTTGATCGAGCGACATAGAGTATGTGCCTTATGGATAGTGATTTTGTCTTAATTGACAATATGGTAATATGACCCTCCAGGTACTGTATAATTTTCATCGATAAAACGAATGGAACGACCATCCAAGTAATGCATCACCTCAATCAACAATAAAATATAATGACCCTCCGGGTAGTAATATTATCATGTATGATAACATGATGCAGATGAGATCATTGATGAAAAACTTTGAACTGTCTTTCTCGAAGTTTTTATTTGATTCATCGTTGAATCTAGATGTACATTCATTATAGACTTCATGTTGTTGGAAATTGGATGAAATAAAAACATTCAAATTTCCAAGTTTGGATATAAGCAGTATAAAATATTTCCTGCATACACTAAAAAATTGTTAATTTTGGGAGATCTTTGCCCTTTAAATTCTCCATATTTATTGATCCGAGGAATTTTTCTGCTTTCAAACCAAAGCTATAAACTCGTGTCCATAAAAAAATCATTATTTTTAAAACAAATTGATCTTTGTCGATTTCTTCAATTGTTTGCGCCTTGTCTTTCTATCTCCGGTGGATTTTCTGATCTCATGACTCTCGATAGATAAGATAAAATATTTTATGCCAAAACAAATGAAATATAAAAGGAATTTTTTTTAAAAAAAAATAATTTTTAAAAAGTAATATTTTGAAAAAGATTACTGCCAAGTATCATGTCACGTCAGGCTTAACAAAGTTCTTTAAGTCTTGTGCATGGAGATCTATGTAATTATTCACTGGAATGTCTTATGAGTCACTCTAGACTGCCGATAAGACTTTAGGGAAATTTTTAGTCTATCCTCAAAATTTTTGTCCAAGTTAACTATCTCAACTTATTTTTAAGTGTCTGTGAGTAAATCACGGAATTTTGATATTCTCTAAAAAATTCTATCCCTGTTGGAAATTTCCAAGTAACTTGAGTCTTGACTTGTTGAAAGAAAACTTCTTCCTTATGAATTTTTGAGTCCCTCTCAAAAATTCTGTCCCAGTTTCTATGGTAAAGAAAAATAGAAATATGACGGGAGGTATGAGCGAACCCTTGTGGCGCCTATGTATCTCGGTGAAGCATGAATCAAGTCAAAGGTATTTCCCCCTCAATGGTTAACAATAATAGAAAATTTACAAATAATCCAACCCAGGCCGACATAGGCCTCCGACATATCTCATTCTTGACAATTCAGGTGATCGTAGTTCAAATACAAAGTTATATAAACAGGGTTAATGAGGTGATCGAGGCCGGCATAGACCGTCTACGTATCTCATTCTTGAGAATTCAGGTTAGACTAAGATTATTTACAAGAGGTATAAGATTTTCAAACAAAGAAAATAAAATCAAATTGAACGATTGAAGGGAAATATAAAAAATACTACTGAAACTTCACACATAATATATCTTAAAACGTCTGAGTTGATCGATTTCGACTATGTGGTGTCATTCATTTCTGACAGGACCAAAGCACCTCCAGATAATACATTATGAACCATGTAATATCCTTGACAATTAGGTGTGAATTCTCCTTTATACTCATCTTGGTGAGGAAAAACGCGTTTAAAGACTAAATGACTAAATCCAAAATTCTGGCTTTTACTCTCTTGTGGAAAGAGCGAATCATTCTCTGTCCATATAGTTAACCATTGCAAACGGAATCTCTCTCTTTTCATCAATTAATGTTAACATGTCAATCCGCTTGCTGACCCATTCAGCCTTACTCAACTCAGCTTCCTGGATAACTTCAATGACGGAATCTCAACTTTAGCATGTATGACTACTTCTGATCTGTATACTAGAAATTATGGAGTAGCTCCAATCGATGTTCTGATAGTCATTCGATAACCCAACAAAGATTGTGGAAACATTTCATGGAAACCTCAGTAATATTCAATCATTTTTGTCAAAATCTTCTCGATATTCTTATTGACAACCTCTACAACCAGACTTATTTAGGGACGATAAGCGATGGAATTTCCGGTGAGTTATCTTATATTGCTTACATATATACAAGTGTCTTTTTGAGATTCACACCATTATCAGAGATGATGGAATATGGTACTCCAAACCCTCATATCAGATTAGCGCGAACAAAATCCGCTACAAGTTTCTTAGTCACCGACTTGTAAGAAGTTGCTTCCACCCACTTTGTGAAATAATCACAGGCAACAACAATTAATCTATGTCCATTAGAAGCAGGTGTCTCTATTGGACCGATAACGTCCATGCCCCAAGCTACAATTGTCCAAGGAGAACTCATACCATTGAGTTCATGAGGCGGCACTCGGTTAAAATCACCATGCACTTGACGTTTATGACATTTCTGCAAAAAGTTGCAGTAATCACGCATCATAGTATTCAAAAACTAACTGGCTCAACGGATATTCCTCGCCAAAAAGATTCCATCCATGTGCGTACAACAAACTCCAACGTGTATTTGTTCAATAAGCTTCGCAGCTTCTACAGCATCAATATATATGAGAAGACCTAAATTGGGAGTCGTCCTATAAAGGATTTCTCCACTTAGAAATAAGTTGAGCGCCAAATGGCATATCGACTTTTTCTGGTTAAGTGTCGCATTCTCATGATAAGTTCTCGATTCTAAGTAATTCTTGATATAAAAATACCCTGGCAACCCGTATGGTCCTACTTCAACGTAGGAACAGTGAATTGGCTGCTTCTTTATATTTATATCCAGAGGATCAATATAATAAGTATCTCATAGTTTAATCGTTGTTGTGATGGTTACAAGAGCATCAACCAACTGATTTTGTGTTATGGGACTATGTCTAAACTCTATTTTTATGGAATCTTCTGCACAACTTCTATATAAGCCGCATGTACGGCATAATCTTTGGGTTCTTCACAGCCCATACTCCTTGAACATGATGAATCCAGAAATCTGAATTTCCAATAACCAGTAACTCATGGACGTTCATGTCAATGGCTATTTTAAAATTAAGGATATAAGATTCATATTATGTCATGTTGTTCTTGCAATTAAACTAGAGGTTAGCTGTCATATGATAGTGCTGGCCAGATTCTGACAGTAATACTGCTATAATAACTCTTCCTTGGTGAGTTGTCACTCCCTCAAAGAATACCCTCCATCCAGGTTA